GGGGCGGGCCTGGTGGCGCACGAGGTTAAGTGTGCGCGCTTTGCTTCAGCAGCCCGGGGTTCGCAGGTTCAGGTCCCTGGCGTGCACTGATGCACCGCTTGTCAAGCCATGCTGTGGCGGCATCCCATATAAAGTAGAGGAAGATGGGCATGAATGTTAGCTCAGGGCCAAGCTTCCTCAAGAAAAAAGGGGAGGATTGGCATCGGCTGTTAGCACAGGGCTAGTCCTCCTCACACACACACAAAAAAATAAACAAAATGCTATAGTGACCATCTCCTTGTAAGAAAGCCTTTTCTTTGTTTTGGGAAATTTTCTTGAAGTATATTGTAAGAAGTGGGATTACTGTAGACCCTTACTATTTTTTAATTTGACTTTTGAATTCCAGATGTTGGAAAAACAAATCTGTTTATGAGGCAGTGATATGGTGCTTTCATTGTGTATTAAACCACAATTCACACTTGGAATTACTCATACATGGCAACACATCCAAACCTTTTCCCTTCATGGATTTTCTCTAAGGGACTTATTTTACTTGGTGGTGTTCCCCTTGCTGGGTGATTCCTAAAGCCACTGGTCAGCCTAACAGGCCTACCTGCAGATCCACCTTTGAGCTTTCCTGGATCCTCTAGGTACCATTTACCTATGGGTAAAATCGAAGATTTCCTTATTGTTTTGTTCCAGTTTCTAGCCCCACTGAAATTAGCAACCGCGATGTGGTCTCATTTCTGGAGCCCACCCTCTTTGCATGATGGTCCAGGCCTTCCTGTCCCAAGGATTTAATGTGGCCTTGAACTAGTATAACTTTCTCACTAGGCTTTTTTTTTTTTTTTTTTTTGTGAGGAAGAGTAGCCCTGAGCTAACATCTGTTGCCAATCCTCCTCTTTTTGCTGAGGAAGATTGGCCCTGGGCTAACATCCATGCCCATCTTCCTCTACTTTGTATGTGGGACGCCTGCCACAGCATGGCTTGATAAGCAGTGTGTAGGTCCGTGCCCAGGATCTGAACCTGCGAACCCTTGGCCACTGCTGAAGTGGAGCTTGCGAACTTAACCACTATGCCACCGGGCTGGCCCCCGCACTAGGCTTTTATAGTAATGTCTTTTGTTTTTTGATCTGTTGTTATTACTTCTTTCTTGTAAAAGCTATCCTCTCTATGGGAGGATAGTTTATATTCCAAGAAAACAATAATAAGCATAGTTTTCTTTTAGGCTGCATTCCTCATAGTCCTTGGGATTAGGGAATACAGTCTCCTCCCTTTCTGTTCGTTCACTCATTTCATTTATTGTTTCAACATACATTTGAGTATTGTGTGCCCAGAATTGAACTAGATACTTGGAAAAATCCAAAAATGAAAAAACTAGGTTATTGTTCTCAGAGAGTTCACGGTCTAATAGGGAGTCAAATACATAAACAGGTACTGCACTTACATGTGGAAATAGGATTCCTCGAGATGTACAGGTATTAGAGGAACTGAGAGGAATGGCTCCTAACCCAGCCTGGGGTGGGGGCTTCCTGGAGGAGGTGGCATCTTTACACGAGTAGCTCATGGATTGTATATGGGCAAAGTAAGTCCTGAATTGAACAGCTGTGCACCAAGTCTTATGGTCAGCTTGAAGAGAATAGATCAGCGATGACTGGTTGTATGTGATATTGCCTAGAAGCCAAAGAGATTCCTGGTCTGTCCTCGTTCTTCTCTGCTAGGGTTGTGGTTCTGAGCTGGCCATGGTGAGTGTGTGACTCACCCAAGACCCCTCCCTCTTTCCTTTACTGCCTTCACTCCGAGCATGATAGGAGCCTGCATTTCCTTTCAGACCGATGGATTTCTGAAGGACAACAACAATGCTGCCCAGCGCCTCTTGGACGGGATGAACTTCATGGCCCAGTCGGTATCTGAGCTCAGCCTTGGGCCCACCAAGGCTGTGACTTCCTGGCTGACAGACCAGATCGCCCCTGCCTACTGGAGGCCCAACTCCCAGATCCTGGTATGGTGTGCAGGATGCCTCTGCCTCCCTGCACGGCCCCTTCTGCTTGTGCTACTCCGCCCTGTCCTAAGCCTGTTCTGGGAGGGAGGTGCAGAATTGCTCTCCCTGTCACATCAGCTCCCCAGAGTATTGGAAAGGGTGGGATACATTGAGACAGCCAGTGTCCTCTTTGCCCACTGATTTCCCTTTGTCTTATTCTGCAAGTATTTTCTTTGTAGTGGATTTTAGTTTCCTTACCTGCAAGGGCCAATTATTATTAGTTAGATGTCTGAGGTCGTAGATACAGGCATACCTCGCTGTATTGCGCTTCGCAGATATTGCATTTTTTATGAGACTCCGCCAGCAAAAAGATTACGACTTGCTGAAGGCTCAGATGATGGTTAGCATTTTTTAGCAATAAAGTATTTTTTAATTAAGGTATGTACGTTGTTTTTTTAGACATAACACTATTGCACACTTAATAGACTACGGTACAGTGTAAACATAACTTTTATATGCACTGGGAAACCAAAAAATTCATGTGACTCACTTTATTCCAACATTCGCTTTATTGCGGTGGTCTGGAATTAGAACCTGCAGTATCTCTGAGGTATGCCTGCACAGAATCTGGAGGAAAAGTGGCCTTCAGAGGTCATTTGGTCATCCGTGGCTTGATACACTTTATGACAGGAAACTCACTCCACACCAACTTCCTAGAAGCTGTGAAAAATATGAATTCTCATTGCTTTTCTGGCTAGAATTAGCATAGTCCCTTCTGGGAACCCTGTGACTCGGCCATATAGATTTGAGGTGCCTTTCCAGGCACTTCTTGGAAGAAAATGATAATCACAGCTGTGGTTGGTGGGGGCATTCCGTGTGGCTAGGGGTCTTAGGTCCCCTCTGTTAGGGCGGTTGGGTCCTGCCATTCCAGGATGGTCCTGGGGTCTTCCCCTGGGGCTCGTTGACTTTCTCAGCTGAGCAGACTGGAATGATACCTGCCTCTCTGTTTGTTTTGGGTGGAACAGAGCTGCAACAAGTGCGCTACATCCTTTAAAGATAATGACACCAAGCACCACTGCCGGGCCTGTGGGGAGGGCTTCTGTGACAGCTGTTCTTCTAAGACCCGGCCAGTGCCCGAGCGGGGCTGGGGCCCTGCACCCGTGCGCGTGTGTGATAACTGCTATGAAGCCAGGAATGTCCAGTTAGGTAACGTGGGGCTGGGAGCTGCAAGGGTGGGGGGGAATCCTCTCTCCTAGGCACTGGGTGTTGGGAACTGGATGCCCACATGCCCAACCCTGTTCCTAACAGCAGCCCTCTGCTGAGAGCAGTTGCTCCTCTGGTCTTGGCCAGCCATCCTCTAAGCTCTTTGTTAACAGAGTCCTGGGGGTGCTATTCCTCAGGGGTATTGAATCTGTCCTGTGGTTATCAGGCTTAGACTGAGTCTTCTCCCTGGAGAAGATTCTAGGTTATGCTCCTAGAACCTTTCTGGCTTATTTTAGAGGAAGGTTATAAAATAGCTCGAGATGGTTGAGATAAAAGACTAACAGATGTCACTCAGGTCTGGGCTGACCTGACCCACAGCCCAGACCCTTGCCATCATTACAGGACAGCACAGTGGTTCCCTGGGAGAAGAATCCAGAAGTGCTCTGCTGTTGCCCACTGAGTTTTCCATTTGGGAAATGACTGAGAGGTGACAGCTTTTCCTTTATCACTGTCTACAGATGTTACTGAGGCACAGGCGGACGATGAAGGTGGAACGCTGATTGCTCGGAAGGTGGGCGAGGCCGTGCAGAACACTTTGGGAGCCGTGGTGACAGCCATTGACATACCACTAGGTGGGCCTGGCAGTGCTGCTCTTGGGCGTAGTGTATGTGGAATGAGAGGTTTTGGAATGCCCTGGGCTGTCATTTTGTCAAAGGTTTACCAACCTAGATTGAGTTGGGCAGCAAGGAGTTGACTGAAATTTACATTTGCTTGCTTCTGCTGAATACTTTGGTGGTTTTGTGTTTATTCCTGGAGGCCATCCTCTTATACCATCTGTTCCTGCATAACAAACAACCTGAAAGTGTAAAGCTGAAAACAACCACCCTTGTATCATGTCTCACAACTTTGAGTCAGGAAGGCAATTATTCTGCTCCAAGTGGCATTGCCTGGAGTTCCTACCTGACATTCCAGTATGGCAGCTGGACTGGTCTCAACGGGCCAAGCCAACCTCACTTACATGGTGGGTACCTTAGCAGGGACACCTGGAAGGCTGGGCTCAGTAGAACTCTCTCTCTCCACGTGGTTTCTCCAGTGGTAGTTGGACTTCTTACAGGGTGCCTCAGGGCTCTAAGAGCTAACGTTCCAATAGATGGGAAATAGAAGCTGCCAGTCTCTTAAGGCCTGGGCCTGGAAACTGGCACTCCTGCTGTCATCTCCTTTAGGCATAGAGCCTGCCTAGATTTGAGGGAGGGGGCAGGATTGTCAAAGAATTTGTGGCTGTCTTTAATCTGCCACATCAGCCATGCTATTATTCATTTAGGATTAAAGATAGCTACTTAGCTCTGGATGTGAGGGCTACTTGTAACCAGGATGGGAAGAGGGAGAGGAAGGGAAACCCACCGGTGTGTGGAGGGCTTAGGCAGGGTAGGCTCGGGTATTTTGGCCCATTGTAGGGGAAAGACCGAGCACTCCTGGGTGGGTGATGGTGAAAACTGCTTGGACCGGATTTAATCATTGTGGCTTAGAACGTGAGCGGATGAGGAGCCTTGGACTCAAGGGTGTAGGAAGGGATGGATTTGCCTGGGCTTGAAGCTCAGGTTGCACCTGCTCTCAGGAGTTCCTGGGAGAGGCAGGTGCTGCCCTTGGCACAGAGAGCCTGCCAGCTGTGCTCACCATGCGCTCACCTGCTGAGCACTCGCTGGCTGTCGGGTCCCAGACCAGTGCGTTAGACACGTTATTTCGTGTAATCCTCATAACTGCTCTTGAAGGTGGGTTGTTAGGTGAGTAAGGCAAGGCCCTGAGAAGTTAAGTAACTTTTCTTAATCCTGATGCTAATTAACTTGTGCTCAATGGGACTGGGATTTTTTTTTTTTAATTGTTTTTTTATTTTTTCCCCAAAGCCCCAGTAGATAGTTGTATGTCATAGCTGCATTTCCTTCTAGTTGCTGTATGTGGGACACGGCCTCAGCATGGCCGGAGAAGCGGTGCGTCGGTGCGCACCCGGGATCCGAACCCGGGCTGCCAGCAGTGGAGTGCGCGCACTTAACCGCTAAGCCACGGGGCTGGCCCAGGACTGGGATTTGAATGAAGATATGTCCTAACTCCAAAGTCTGGACTTCTTGATCATTACTCCAATGGTTCTTAATGCAGCTGCACTTGCAGATCACCTGGAGAGCTTAATATACAGATATCAGTGCCTAGGCCCAGCCCCCAGGAGTCTGCCCTGGGTGGTGTGGGGTGAAGGTCGAGCATCTGCATGTTTTAAAAGCTCCCTAGGTGGTTGTGTGTGCAGTTACAGGGTGAGCCTGTGAAATGTCTGAGGAAGCCGTTCTGCCTGGTGGGACTCAGGATGTTGGGTCTGGGTGTCCCGCCCATTGTGGTTCCCTCTGTGCCACAGGTCTGGTGAAGGATGCTGCCAGGCCAGCATACTGGGTGCCTGACCACGAGATCCTGCACTGCCACAACTGCCGGAAGGAGTTCAGCATCAAGCTTTCCAAGCACCACTGTCGGGCCTGTGGACAGGGCTTCTGTGACGAGTGCTCCCATGACCGCCGGGCTGTCCCCTCTCGAGGCTGGGACCATCCCGTCCGAGTCTGCTTTAACTGCAATAAAAAGCCCGGTGACCTTTAACCCCAGCTCCCTCTCTAAGTCCTTCACAATTCCTTAGGTTCTCAGGGTTAGAAACAGTCTTGTTGGGGTAGGCCCTCCTCCCGGTCACCTGTTGTGGTGTGTGTCCTCGACTCATCCTGGGGCCACTTGCCCAGTGGGAGGTGGCCAGCCGGGGTGAGCCTGGTGGCAGGCCCGAAGGTGTGAACCCCTCAGGGCAGGAGACTGAGCAGCTTATAGCAAAGGGGAATGAACCTGAATCCGCTGCATTTATTTCAGTTAAATATAATAAAGACATATACCCGTATATATGAATGAAAGGAATGTGGAGTGTGTTCAAGCTGCCGCTGGCTGCGAGGACTTACCTGTGTGTCCCCAACACAGGGCTAAGGTGGCAGTGGCAGCAGGTCTTCCCCAGAAAACCTAGCCCGGTCCGAAGCCACTGCGTTGCTAGTCACCTTTCGCTGCTGCTCTCCAAGCCCTCGAAGCCTCTCCTTTCCTTGCTGTTTCCCAGCTGCCTGGGGAAGTGAGCTTCCTGGGTACTTCTTGCTTCGAATAGCCTGAAGGGGAGTTTCCCAGGCCCTCTTGAGTTGGATGTCAATTCTTGGCCTAAGCTCGTTGCAGTGAGACCACCCAGCTTAGTGTGCAGGTCACCAGAGTGGGTGGAGGGTGAGGTAGGGTCCTCAGCCCTGAGAAGTCAGTGCAGGGAATGTGACGTCCCTCCTACCCGGCTGGGGAGAGCCTGGAAGGAGACGGCTTTCCCCAGCAGTGTTTCCTGCCTGTTGATGCTGCTGTGCGCCCACTCCACTTTCCCAGAGGCCACACCCTGCTCCCAAATAGAGCACCTGCTTCCCTCCCTCTCCAGCCCCCTTGAGCCCACCATTTGCTTCTGAGCGTTGCACTAGGATTTTTATCGCTTATTTGGAAGTGTCTTAATTCTTTGTTTCTGGACACATGACCCTTCTAGCTATTGGAGGGGTGATCATGAGAAATCTTCCAGGGAAACAGAGCACAGAATGGACTGATAGTTGTTTTTTTTTAAGTATCTATAAATATTTCAACAGATCATTAAGAAAAAATTCTCTCTCCGGTTCTTGCAAGAGAAGTCGAACTTTTCTCATCAAGAGCTCGGACATCCACATCTGTGGTGACTGGAAAGACTATTGTGCTGAAGCCCCGTCATTGTGGTGGATTTTCTCTTCAGTGGCCAAAACGAAGAAGTAAAAGTGACATAGTTCCTGACTGAACTGGCGGGTGGGCCAAGCTTCGGGGAGGTACGTGGCGGTCGTTCCCGGCGTGTGTCCGTGTGATGTAAGTCCTGGAATGTTGGTCCTTCTCAGACCTGCTCCCTTATTGCCTCCTGTGGCCCAGCGACTGAGGCCCTACTCTAGTACTGTGTATTATCAATTCGCCATTATAAAGGAATCTTCCTGCTCAATATGGACTGTGTGGACTCTTTCCTTTAACTCCATCAGTAAATCTTGCTTGATGGGAAAGTAGCTGGTGGCTTTCATAGGAGCCAAGTGAGAGATATATTTCTAGGGTGGTTATATTTTACCTGTAAATACCTCAGTTTATTATTCTAACAATAACTTTAAAAAAATAAAAATATAGCCAAATACTACAAAACCATTATCATACAGATTTCCCCCAGTTTTTACATAGATAGCATGCCCCAGGCCAGTCTGCTCCCTGGGACCAGGAACTTGGTGATGGTCTGGGTATTCCTTGAGCGTGTGATAACTGACGGTCACAGGCCTCTTTCTGCTGGGTAGAGGGCTCCACACGTGCTCACTGACCACGCTGTCGTCCTGCACTTTGGCTGTTCCTCAGCGCCTTCCACAGTAGGTGTGGGACCTGATTGTGGGACGGGGGTCGGTTATGGGGTGGGGGTTGCTGCGCTGCACAGCGGTGGCAGGTGCTTAACAACTTGTGTTCTTGGGGTTTCACTGGCAGCTGGGAATCATAGTCCATGGGAATCTTCTCTCAAGGAAGAGAGGTGTTAGTAGTGACCTATGGAAACACTGGGAAAAATGGTTTTCTGTCTTTATCTGTCACTCCCCTCTTCATTACCCTGCCCTGCCTTGTCTGTTCAACTCCTGTGTCCATCCTCTACCGTATCCTCATTCTTGTGGACATCGACACGCTTGTCTTTGTCCCCTCCCTTGCTCCTGGCCCCATCTCTCCCCTCATCTTTCTTTTTCCTGCTCCTGTCCCTTTCGTCCTTATCTTCTACTTTTTGGGTAAGCAGAGCAGAGTGCGGAGGGTTTGGGGAGAAGAGGTGAATGGTGGTGGCCTGTGTTAGACCTGGCTGTTTGTCCTGTCATTGTGCGGGGGCAACCTGAGCGTGAGAGTCTATCTAGCCACACAGGAATGATGCAGAATAATGTGAAAACTCCCTTACTGTAGTCAGACCAGCAGAGGAGAGGACGGTAACCCAGTATCGGAGTAATAGGAGGTTTCCTTTTCTTGCTCTACACGTCCAAGCCCAGCCTCAACTAAATATGGGGTGAAAACCAGCTAAACAGGGTGAAAACAAAGGCTTAAAAAGCCTATTGAACTATCATACATCAAATTTCAGCTAGATTTTCTGAAATGAACACAATCAACCAGCACCCAGATGAAGAAACATTACTGTACCCCAGCAACTCCTGGTCCTCCCCCTCCAGGAGTACTTGTTATCCTGACATCTAATAGCACAGATTGGTTACCCTCCTTTTAGGGGGGTGTTACATAAAGGCTTTAATAACTTTCTGGTTTAAAAGACTTGCTCACAGGTGGAGACAGTTGTTGAACTGTCTCCCTGTTGAACATATTCCTGAGAGCTGTGACGAGAGATTGCAGCTTGTGGCTGAGAAGGAAGCAATGGGACCCAGTGGGATCCTTACACGTCCTTTGGGTTTAACTCTGCTGGTTTGACTTGGGAATTGAAAAAAAGAGAAGCAATATTTAGGTGCCTGTTATAAGCTAGGCACTGTGCTAGGAGCTTTATATGGTTGGTTGATAATTAATTCTCACAACCACACTGGAAAGGAGGTAGTAGTGTTCATGTTTTGACAGCTGAAGACACTGGCTCACAGAGGTTCAGAAGCCCAGCGTTGCCTGGCCAACGAGACTCGAAGCTGGGTTTTGAGTCCAGGCAGGGCTAATGACTCCGGCATGACGAGTCTGCACTGCCCTGCACCACCTGTCCGGGGCACGGCACTGTAGAGCTGCTCTTAAATTTTCTTTCTCCCTCTTGGGTTCTGAATTCCTTTGCCTTTCCAGGTAAGATAAGGTTGGTATCTTTTCCTTAAGAAGAAACTTAAAGGGGCCGGCCCCGTGGCTTAGCGGTTAAGTGTGCGCGCTCCGCTGCTGGCGGCCCGGGTTCGGATCCCGGGCGTGCACCGACGCACCGCTTCTCTGGCCATGCTGGGGCCGTGTCCCGCATACAGCGACTGGAAGGATGTGCAACTATGACGTACAACTATCTACTGGGGCTTTGGGGGGAAAAATAAATAAATAAAATTATAAAAAAAAAAAAAAAAAAGAAGAAACTTAAAAAACGAATAAATCAATCAAGGTGCCGCTCCTGTTGTCTCAGGAGGGCTTGGCTCTGCATCTCATTGTTTCCCGTCCTCAGAGGTGCTCATGGTCAAGGGCAGTCATTCTTCTTCACTCAAAACAGCAGAGAAACTGGCTTAGAGATTAAGTTGCTCTAGCCTGTATCATTGGAGCTAAGCTTCCAATTGTTAATTAATAGTAATCTTGCAACCATATTTGCATTTTCAGTTTGAGAACTACCATCAGTCGGGGAGAAAACAACCCACAATGGTAGCACGTAACTCTCCTCATCACCAATGGAGTTAGTTTTAGTTACTGTACAAAATCTGAGTTCTACCTTCTGTTAAATTACACCCAGTGCAATTTTTTCTTTTTTGGTATCTAGGAAACTTACAGACTTATGAGCACTAAAGCTCATATGGTATAGGGGTTTATGGGGAATCTGTAATTTAGGAATATACTTATATGACCAGAGCCATCTTTGAAACTGCCATTTGTAGACAACAGCATGTCTTTCTGTGTTTTGGTGGAGTCCACCAACATATAATGCTAATACTGAGTGATTTCATCTACTGCTATGGTTTCAACTGCCACTTTCCATACTGGTGATACCCAGATCCTTAACTCTAGCCTGAATCTCTCTAGGGCTCCATCCCTAGACAATTCCCTTCGATATTGTCCGGAAGATACTGCAACTCAGAGCCTTAAGTGGGTTTCCCAGTCACCATGTCCCCTCAGTTCTGGCTGCCCTGGGCTATTGGCAGCATTTGTATCTGTGTGCTTTTGCTCAGGTTATGGCCTCTACAGAGAAGGTCGTTTTTGCTCTCACAGTAGCTGCTTTCATTCAAATGCGGCCAAGAGTGCAAGTGGGTGGGTAGTAGGAGCAAGCAGGGAGATGTGAGCCAAGATAGGACAACCAGTCCAGAAGTCGTCTATAGGAGACAGAGGCAGCTGGTCTTGAGGAAAGAGGAAAAAAAGGATAATGAGGTCGACCTGAACCCAAGGAGATTTTAATCTTCCACAGGAAAAGTAAAAATCCCATTCTAATAGAAAGATTCTTGGACTTGAGCAGGAGACCCAGCTGGCTCTGCCACTTATTAACAGAAGATCTTGGGCAAATCACCTTTTCAGTAAATTGGAGAAACCATCACCTGCTTCATAGAGTTGTAAGAATTCAAAGGGAATAATGCTGGCAAAAATTGTTCATTCAACATACTGAGTGTCTAGTTGTGGCAAGTGCTGGAGAAACTAAGCTTCCTGGAGGGGTCTGTGAAGCTGAGACTTACCAGCTGGACTTGCAGAGATCACAGGAGTGGAGGACAGCTTGAGCAGAGACCCAGATGAAGGAGGAACTTGAACCACTGGTGTCCTGAGAGCACCAGGTGGGAGGTGGAGATGGGGCAACAGGATGAGACATCCGTGATCAAATCTTTTGGATCAAATCTCAAAAGGCCATTTTATTCTGAGGCACAAGAAGCCATTGAATGCAGGGATCTTTCGGGAAGATCATTCCTGTGGCAGTGGCCGTGCAGGGGTGGCCTGCAGAGGCAGACTGAGAGGAGTTGGCCCAGAGGCTTTTAGCAATATATACAGAGGGCGAAATGGGAGAAGAAACAGTTCAGCTTGCAGTAGTTTTCGCAGATGGTTATCTGGGGTATTTAGAACAGGACAGATCTAGGGCCAACAGGTAAGAGAGTGCTACCTTGGTCCCAAAGGACACTTCTGTGGACTCTTGTTGGGGGACACCAAGGAGGCTGTGTCGGGCCAGCTGAATACTAAGGTGGTTACAGAGCAAGATGGAGTGTGAGGCAGGTGTCTATCTGGGCATTTTTGATAAGCAGTATGTGCCACTGTTCTTTCATAGGCAAGCAAACACCGGGCCACTTAGCAAAGGGTTTATCATAGCTCAGTGCTGCTGCCACTGTCGCCTGCTCATTGCTACCTTTTTCACGCAGGGAACAGGGCAAAATGCCCAAGTAGACCCGCAAGTGAAAAATGCCTCGAGACTGTGTAACATACTAATCTTTGGGACACTATGTTAACAAGCGAACAGACCAAAATGCCTAATCGACTTCTCAGCTAAGTTTAACCACATCTCATATGACTTAGACCAAATGTTAGGAACAGTGGCCACTAACCAGGGATCAAGAACAAACTGCTAAGTTTAAATGGGAAGTTTTGAAGGACCCTCCCGCTCCCTTCTTTTAAGCCTAAGGGAAATCTGAAATGATTCTTAGACAACTTCATTTGCCTAACAAGAAACCTGGGCTGTGGCACAGTTGCTAAGAGGACTTAAGGAGGTATATGGGGATAGGGCCATACATGTCAGAACTCACTTGGTATTCTCAAGTAGTCAGATGGTCGCCACTGTTTGGAGGAAGATCAAAGTTGGACTGAGCAGCCACCCATGGACTAGTTCAGTATAGAACTGTGGGGAAAGCTCTGTGTTAGATGTGCAATACCAGGGATTTTAAATTGCAGATCCTGTAATGAAGGAACTTATATATTGTGATAACTTAGACCTTGAGGGGACAAAGGTATGGGTGGATATTAGGGTCATGGCTCAGCATTTGTTATGCTTGTTTGTGCTCCTCGGCGGGGGCACGTCACCAAAGTTAATCCAAAAGACCCTGCAGTGACATTGGCCACCTGGACCCTTCAATCCTATCGATATTTCCTGGGACCCATGCGCAGGTCAGTATGCCAAGGCTGCAGAGAGACAGGGACAAAATCCAAACAATTAAGCACATGAGAATTTTGGTAATTAGTAAGCTCCTTACCCACTGGTGAGTGCCAGAATTCACTTACAGGGTGATTAAGGATCATGAAATGTTCGCATCGCATGCTTACACTTGCACCGCGCTGCTCCTTGATCTCTCCATGCACCAGTTATGATACACAAGTCATGTCAGCGACTGGAGGAGCACAAAAAGTAGAAAATGGGATCTCAAGTCTTCCAGCTCCAAGTCCCAGCTCTCTACTTAACAGGTCTAGGAGCCAAGGCAAGTCACTCAATGCCTCTGAGCCCAGGCTTTTCTACGGGTAAAATGATGCTGATAATTTTTCTATTACTGCTACTCTCCTCCCTGCTTTATGTGTTGCTACAAGGATCAAATCAGGTAAGATGGGGGAAAGTTCTTTATAAAATACGAGCATAAAAATATTTGGCATTAAAATGTAGCTCATCTGTTAGATGACCAATCTGATGGTCTCTTTTTTTTTTTTTGATTTGGTTCTCTGTACGTTAAGTTGTTATTTGTCAGGGTTCTGGCAGGAAACAGATGGAACACTCAAGGGGTAAATGAAGCAAGTTTCACTGGTAAAGTATCCTGGGCTAGCAACAGTGAGGTGCAATTACCAGCTGTAGGTCTGAAGGGACAAATGGAGAGAAGTTACTGGAACCCAGAGTGAGCTGCGTTCCAATGGAAGCTGTGGCCTTGGGTGGAGGAACCCAGCCAGAGCCCCCCACAGCCCAGCAGGAGGGGAGCCAGGGAACTAACAATCCCACCTCACTCTCCTGCCCTCTGCTTTCCTGCTGGTATGTTCCATTGCCTGAACCCAGCTGGGGCCAGGGGGCCCACTGAAGTAGTCCAGAGGTCAGCTTCTTGGGGCACGTGCAGAGCAGGTGAAGAAGGGCACCAAGTGGATCTGGAGGGGCACCTGGATGCTCTCCAGCAAAGTAAAGCTGGTTCAGTCTCTACCCTTCTTTCTTTTCCTCAACTAAGATCTGAGTAGACATTACTGCAGCTGGTCTGTTGCTACAGTAGCCAAACTCCATGATCTTCTAAATCACTAACAGATGCAACACATCACCACGCCATGGTTCTTTCCAGTTTATTGTCTGGTAGAAAGACAGGCTCTTGAACACTTTGTATAAACATCTGACAAACTGCTTCGAGATTACACAAAGTCGAAGCCAATTTTCTTTGAGAAAGGGCTCTTGAATCTGACATTCAAGTCACCATGAGAGAAACAGGAGCTGCTGGACTTAACATTTGGGAAGGTGCCTCAACAAAGGCATGCTAAGGCCTGTTTAAAACCTCTAGCATTTAAAAAGATCCACCTGTCTTTCCAATGCGTATAAATGACGATGAAAGGAACATCCCAGAGATCTGCTACTGATACTGAATTTGAGAAGGCTAGTTTAATGACTCTGAACTCCAGCCTTAAATCTTTCTCTCGAGACTCAGAGAAACAATGTCCCCCCTTCCTCTTCTTTTTAGCTGGCTTCTCAAGTACAGATGCCTGTTTTTCTGGGACTCAGGCACTGACTACCCTAACAGTCTCACCCAGTCTCATCATTAGGCTTCTCAAAAGGGTTTTTGGTAAAAGAAGCTTTAGTTATTTTAGTTTTTGCCAATCTTCAGCCCTTAGAAAAGTATTTTTTGTTTTAAAAAAAAAAAAAAAGGGTGGGGAACTATTCTAAGGAATTCAGTAAGAAAAGGAAATATGTACCTTTTATAAAAAGGACTTTCAAACTCTCTGAGCCCACAACTTAACTGAAATAACTTTACTGAAATGTCTCCACATACAACACAGCACCTTCTCCACAGCAGCCAGAGGGATGGGATCTGTGTACAGAGCATCCATTTAAAATGCCCTCATTGGAAACAGCAATTGTGGCAGTATGGCTACTCTTTAGTCCTTTAAGTCAAATCCACATCTCTCCAAGCTGCACCTTGTAGAATTTTAGTTTAATAGGAGAATTTTAGTAGGAGAAGCAGTAAAGGTCCTGCTGGACAGCCATGAGCAGCCCCGGTGCTCCCCGGAAGCCCCCGAGCCGAGAAGAGAAGGCCACACTTGGAATGTCGGCCTTGGAGGTGGGGTGTGGGGAGGGTATGGTTCTGAGCAGGTGGCCATCGTGGAGGCTCCAGATTCTCGTGTAGCAGTCCTGGCCCACTAAGAAAGAGGGAAGACACGTGGCAGGTTAGTGAGAGAATGCAGAGGAGAACTTGTGCACATGTGGATATGGCTTCTCATGACTCCTAAGGGCTAAATGTGATTCCATGTGAGCCAAAACACAAACTCACAAATGGAAATTACTTCTACTGATAATATGTACTTTTTGAAAATCAAGGTTTTGGGTCCCCCTGGTGCTCTAGAACCGTAACAGGTTGAAGGTATTCAAAGCGACAAGATGCAATGGCTGGTTGTGTGACAACTGGGATGGCTCATCGGGCTCCTGGCTAACAGGTGGGCATTCTGCTTCTCTTGGTGTCAACAGCTGTTGAAGAGGGAGCCCAGCCCACCTAGTCTAGATGACATACAACTCATTTCCTTTTTATGAAACAGTAACCAGGAAGATCTCTTTTCATGACGTCCTGGGGACAAACCAGGTAACAACTCTCCCCAGAGCTCTGTCTCATCTAATGGTTCAGTTTATAAGACCAGTTAAAGTCTTCAGCGCTCAAAGTTCTGAGGAATGTGACATCTAACAACCATTGGTTAGGGTAGCCCAGACACATGATATATGCTACTAGAGATCTCCAGTGGAAAGAGACCATAGGCGTTCATGGATTTCACATTTGTGCTTTTCTCATTTAAAAAAAAAAAAAAAAAAAAAAAATTTGGTAGCCTTTGTCTTCTTTCTTTTTTCCCCTCCCCAAAGCCCCAGTACATAGTCGTATATTCTAGGTGTAAGTCCTTCTAGTTCTTCTATGGGACCCACCGTCACAGCATGGCCGCTGACAGACAAGTGGTGTGGTTCCACGCCCGGGAACCGAACCTGTATTGCCGAAGCGGAGCGCGCCTAACTTTAACCACGAGGCTATCAGGGCTGGCTTCTGACTACAAAGTGACTCTATGACCATAGGTGCTCCCTTGGCTATGGATGAATTCAGGTTGCACAGTTCACTGATAATTGCAGCTAGCCCACGACCCGCATCTGCCTCTCAACAAGGCTTACCTCTTCTCTGTTCAGCACACAGAAACCCTTCTGAGAGGAAAACTTTTGGAAAATAGACTTAAAAAAGAAGCTAACTGCTTGTGATGGTGAGAGTAGTAAATAAGCCTAAGTAAATTCTAACAAAGTGATGCTGCTTAGCCAAAAAAGTTTCATGGGGAATAAGTACTTTCTGTAGGAATATTAGCAAACTTGAGGATTCGTGAACACTGAGAACATATTCCTTCGTGTCAAGGGCCTATTTCATATGTAAAACCACTGATCTTGCATGCTATCAGAATATTGTATAGCCCAGAAACAGTATAATCTGTGATCAACTTGTAACTCCTTTCAAGGGGGTACAGTGGCTAGGTAGCTCTGCTCCTGTTCTACAGATCGTGGAGCCACAGGGATGCTGTTAAAAGGTCCAAGAATCAGTTCCTTACAATGACCTTAATTTCTTTTCTTAGCATCCTCTAGTGGAAATACAAGCACAAAGAACAGGGAGCCGAAGTTTTCCAACAGGACAGTTGTACATGGGACAAGGGTCACACTGAACGCTGACCTGGTGAACAGATTTAAACCCCACACCCAGGTCCCCCAAGATGCTATGTGTTATTGCATCTAACCTGCCCGTTTCTGAGGTGGTGTTTGCTCACTGATGCGGGAACAGAGGGCTGTCCAACTGGTGGACATTTGAACTGTTGCTTACTAATATCTAATTAGTAATCCAATATCTGATATCTATGTACCATCTAGTCTCCCCACCCCCGGTCTACAGTCCCCTTTATTCCATTCTGTTTTGGAGTAACTCCAAACCCCTCTGCTGCTTAAGCTGCTGGGGAGCCTAAGGGATAGTATTTGATGGATGGAATCTCCCCTTCCCCAGGTACCTGCTACCACGATTTCTTCTTCCTCGTGCACGTGCAGGGGCAGGTAGGCATACTCGTTCACGTGACCTTCGTACTGCCTTATACACTTAGTGGTCCTCAGGTCCCACAGCTTGATCTGTGGGAAACAGCACAAGGGGCTGTCAGGGAGGGTCCAGCAGGTATACACCATGAACCCCAGGCCCAGAAGCCAGGGAGGGCAAGGTCATACCCCAAGAGCTCTTCTGGTTAGGGGAATCTCAATCTCAAACTCCTGAGCCCTCGAGTTCATCAAAAGGACCAGAACCAGTTTCACGTCTGTCTAGACCAGTTGGGCTCCCAGTGGGCAGTAAAGTAGCTGCCCTGTCCAGCCCATACTTGCCTAGTCTCCAGCTGCCTCTCCCCCACTGCTGTCTGGCATGAGGGTCTCTTCTGCAGAGCCCCTCCACCTGGCAGAGTTCTGGGCCACTAGCTCCAGTGACTTGAGAAAGTCAGTGTTACCCCTACCTTTCCAGCCATGTCGGACGCCATCAAGGATTCCTCTTCTTGGAGGATTTGAACAGAAGTCACTGCTGAGTCGTGGAACAGGCGGGTGGCCTTCCAGCCCTTGCCCTGATTGTGACAACGCAGATCAATGGCAAAGATCTCTCCAGAACGACAGCCATTAAACAGCAAAGGAGCCTGTGGAAAGTGGAACAGCTCAGTACCTCCAAGGCTGGGAGGGGTGCGGCCTCCAGAACACAACCCCTGCCTCCCCTCCCCTATCTCAGCCACTGGGTCAGAGCTGTGGGTGGAGATGGGTTGGTCAGGGTTTGACCCTCAGTGGAGTTGGAAGGGTTCCTTGGGGAAGGGTAAAAGAACTGGACCCCATGTGTCCTCCAGCATTCTCCCCACTGGCTGCACTGGCATCTTAGGCCTTACTCTGAAGCTTAAGTGATGGCGCCCTGTCTCCCCCAAAGTCGTTCGTGAGAAGCTGGGGTGGTGCATATGGAGTAGGAGGGATCAGAGATCCAAGTAAGACGTGGGTCCCAAACAGGGGGGGGCAGATGGCTGAGAAACCTCAACAAGAACGCTGTGCTTATTGCCGGTGCAGGCCGGCACACTCCCTGCTCCACACTTTTAAAGAAAGGTGGCATTTCTTTGAAATGTAGTAATGACTAGAATTTTAATTTTTAAATTTATAAAATGTGTAACTTGAAAGCTGTGTATGAAACTATTAAGTGCTATGAAGTAGGACTCAATTTATACATTAATTACTTGTCCTGCCGGCTAATCTAAGTACTCAGGAACTGCTAGCAATTCATTTAAATAGGAAGTTGTTTAAAGCCAGCACAGCCAGGCCTTGCTAACTTTCATTCAGTGCAGACATATTCACGAAGTAACCCGTTAATCCTTTCCAACGCCCTCTTTTCCCCTGTAAAAGATGCAGGAGGACTAGATGCCACACAGGAATCCAATTTCAATCCAGCAAAACTTCCACTCTCGGGAAACTTTACATTACGCCCTTCCCAATCCAACCAACCATGAGAGCAAACTGCTGGGCCAAGACATCACTGCTGGTCCCAAATGACCGCCGGTGTCCTGTCACCACGTTGGTCACCAGGACACGCCGAGATAAGCCTGCCAGAGACAGAGATGGGGTGGAGAAACAAGTGTCACTCGCAATCTGGGGAGAGGGACTGCTGGACAGTGGGTTCAAGGCCTGTTAAATCCTTTACTTTGGGGACCTGCGAGGCAGCCACGGCTCACCTGTACTGAAGCAGTTATTTGCCTGGATGTTCAGGGACCATGCACAGGACCAGGCCCCAGGGATCCGGAAACTGCACAGCATGCCAGGCCGGTCTCCTGCTGAGCGGACAGTGAATGTAAAGCACGGCTGCCCTCTAGGACGGAGAGCTTCCCTCCCCACTGCCAGGCCAGGGATCACTCAGATTTGGGAAACCTCCAGTAATAGCTGCTCAGAGGCCCCATTCTGGGTTTTGCGGTAGCAAGAGAGAGACACTCAGCTGGGGTGCCTGGCTCAAAAGTGGTTATTCTGAGAGTGGAAATCTGCATCTGCCCTGACTTCCCAGTAGTGTTACAAGTACTAACAGCTATCAGGAAGGCAGTGTGGTGTCCCAGATGAGAGAGTTTCTTTTTTTTTTTTTTTTTTAAAGATTTTATTTATTTATTTTTTCCCCCCAAAGCCCCAGTAGATAGTTGTATGTCATAGCTGCACATCCTTCTAGTTGCTGTATGTGGGACGCGGCCTCAGCATGGCCGGAGAAGCAGCGCATCGGTGCGCGCCCGGGATCCGAACCCGGGTTGCCAGCAGTGGAGCGCGCTCACTTAACCACCAAGCCACGGGGCCGGCCCCAGATGAGAGAGTTTCAATCCCAGATCACACTATTGGATGTGTGATCTCAAGCAAAACATTTTTTAAAATAAACTTTTTCAGAGGTCAGAGGCCGGCCCTAAGCCTCAGCGGTTAAGTGCGTGCGCTCCGCTTCTGCGGCCTGAGGTTTGCAGGTTCAGATCCCGGGCACGCACTGATGCACCGCTTGTCAAGCCATGCTGTGGCGGCGTCCCATATAAAGTAGAGGAAGATGGGCATGGATGTTAGTCCAGGGCCAATCTTCCTCGGCAAAAAAAAGGATTGGCATCGGATGTTAGCTCAGGGCTGATCTTCCTCACAAAAATAAATAAATAAAACTTTTTTATTGACAAAACATACATAAAGACCACAAATCATAAGTCCGTAGTTTAATGAGTTATCACAAAGTAAATACAGCCATGTAACCAGCACCCAGGTTAAGAACAACATTCCAGTATCCCTCATATCTCCTCCCATTACTACCTCCCCACTCCCCCCAAAAGGAGACCACTATCCTGACTTCTAACACCACGGATTAGTTTTGTAAGGCAAATTCTGAACCTCTTTTTGCCTCAGTTTCCTCATCTGTAAAATGGTGATAATACATACTCCTGCCTCATATGCTTGCTGTATAATGAAATGCCAGGCACCAGGCTAAGTGTGCGTTGCCTCATTAATCTTCCATGTAGCCTGACGAGATAGTATTACCTTCACTTCACAGAGGTTAAGCAATCTGTTCAAGTTGCTAAGGGGCAAAGCTAGGATTCATGACAGGCCTGCCTGAAGCCTGCATTCTTAGAGGCCTGACCCTTGTCTAATTGATCCTAATTCTCTGAAAGACTGAAAACTTAATATCCAGAATGCTGCCAGGAAGGAGAAGTCCAATTGCCTTCAGCCAGACAGAATATAAGTATCTCTGATCGCACCTGTCATATAGTAGGAGCTTAAAAGATGTTTTCTGAATGATCTGTACAGGCAGCCCAAATAAATATTTTGATCTCTTGCTGTGGTTACGCACACTTTTAACTGTTCTGGCTGCTGAAATGACCCAAAAGAAGGGGAGATATAAGGATGCACATGCTTCTAGTAGGAACCTTGGGTCAGCTTTAGGGAATCCTCTCACAAGGGCTTCTGCAGACCGTGCCCACCCTGTGGGCTCTGACTTGGGCTCACCCAGCCTGTGGTTCCCACTCCTCCTCTCCAAGCCTTTGCCATGGAGCTTAAAGTATTGTTGGCGGCAGCTCCTGGGAGGCAGAGGACAGAGACCTCCCTCAGAGCACCTCCTCATCCAAAGGAAAAGGCCCCTGTACCTGGGTGACTACTGACAAACAGCGATGCTGGGAGCAGGGTGGCACAGCCTGGAGTCTCTGCGATCCCCATGAGGCACAGCCTAGAAGAGCTGTTAAGGACAGTCAAGTACAAGCCTCTCCTCTGGGAGGAGAATGGGCATTATTACCCTTCAGAAAAAAATTTAAGAACAACACTCATAAGCCAGATTTAACACGTTTACATTTTCCATATTTAGTTTCAGATTTTTTTCAAGGAAAAAAACGTCACAGATACAGCAAGAAGTCGTCTTTGACCCCTCCCCAGTCCAATTCTCCCTTCTCTCTCACCCAGAGAAATTCCCTATTCTAAAACTGCTCTGAGTTCTAGGCCATGTTATAATATTTCCACGACATATTTATCCATGAGCAATATAAAGAACTGTTTATGTTTTTAAAACAGATACACATGGCATCACAGAGAGTATCTTCTACAACTTCTCAGTCTCCATTGTCTTCCTAGATTCATCTGTGTTGATGTCTGTAGCTCCAGTTCTCTCATTTTCCCAAGGAGCACTCCTTTGTATGAATATACCACAATTGATCTAGTGTCCTGCTGATGGGCATGGAGGTTCTTCTCTTTTTTTTTTTTTTTTTTTGTTCTGCTGCTGGAATGAGTATCTCTTCCTGTCTCCCACTCCTATGAGGCGGAGGCTTCTTTAAGGCAGTGTTTCTTAAACCCATGGTAAGAATTTAATTTTACACTACAATGTGCTATATGCACACAAATATGTGAAACAAAATTTTCATAAAATATTTACCCTTAATAAATATGAAACATATTTTCTAGTCTACTTCATTTAAAAAATGCTGCTCACACACTGATTTAAGGGCCTGCTGATAGGTCATGACTTGTAGTTTGAAAACACTGCTCTAGTGTCTATACCTGGAGTGGAACTGTGGCGATGGAGGGTACACGCATCTTCAACCTAAAGTGGTTCTATCTATTTGTTTATACCAACAGTTTTCCCCTTTCTCCACATTTGCCAAAACTTGGCACGATCAGACTTTTGAAATTTGTGCTTATCTGAATGGGCATAAAATGACAACTCATTATTATTTTAATCTGCATTCCCATGACTACAACTGGGTGTACTGTCATCTGATTATAGTCATCTGAGCTTCCCTTTCTTTGAATTGCCTCTTTATATCCTTTGCCGACTTTCCTATTGGATATCTGTCGTCTGATGGATTTGGTTTCTCTCCCTGTCCCTTCACAGCCACACTTCTCTCAAGAGGAACCTGTGTTTACCCCCACTTCCTTGCCTTTCTTTCATTCTTCAACCCCTGTTACCCAGGTCTGACACTCACCTTTCCAGTGAAATGTTCTCCCCAGGGTCTCCAATGCATCCTTATTTTCTAAATCTGATGAACACTTTCCAGTCCTGCCCCATGGTCACATAGCACAATTTCTAACTACACGCTCCTTGTTGACCTCCACACCACCACTCTTGGAGTTCCATCCTCGGACCTTCTCCTATCACCAAGATACCCTGGCCTAGATCCTAAGCCTTTTAGACTCGTGCCCTCTCTTCCACTCCCGCCCATCAGTTCATACCCTCTCCACTGCCCTCTTCAGTCTCATAGCAGCCTTCCTGAGGTCTCACCCTATATAAGAAATGACTCCACAGCCACAATCCTCCAGGGGCATCCCATAGCCCCAAGGATTCAGTCTTATAACCTACCCAGCCAGAGACATCATGGACACCAAACCACTCACTGCTGCCCCACGTGCCAAGCTCTCTCCCTACTCTTCCTTCTGAGGGGAGTTCATCTCCTCCTTCCCATGAGGGAATCACCTCCAGGAAGGCAGCCCCAACCCTTGCCTCCCCTTTGCATCCAACTGCCCCAGAGGCACCACTGCACAGACTGATTACCTGTTGAGCTGCCCATTTCCAGCAGCTTGCACAGGGACTGGATATGCTTAATAGATGTTGGGGGGATGAACACACACCTCATCAAAAAATGTAAATTTTTGCAAAGCAACTGGATAATATTCTTGACTGTCTGAATGTGTGATGTGTGCGTGTCACGTTGCCTTGGGTGGTGGGCCCCACGTTAAATATCTCTAGTATAGAGGCTGCTGAAACTATAAACGAGAACACTGAAGCTGGGCGGCTCAATTCCTTCCCAAAGAAACCTCCTCTGCTTCTGGGCTTGGAGGGTGAGGATGTGGGGAGAGAGTGCTTACCCATGTGCACTTGTAATTACTGTGGCTGAAACCTAGGTTACACTCAAACTTTGTATGATAGCTACAGGGCTCTTATCACAGATTTAATCCTTTAACAGGCCACAGGTTAACGAAGATCCCAGTAAGTGTCAAAAGAATTCAGTCTAACCCCCACCACTCTTTGGGAAAAAACGCAGAGTGCAGGTCTGAACAAGGTGCCATTTTTGTAAAGGGAGAAAGTTCCATGAACTTCAGCAGAAGCAGCAGGCATGCAAAAGCCCGAAGATTACCTGAAATGACCACCAGAGGGCAAGCCGCTGCTCAAGCTACAACAGACCACACTCTTTAAACCCAGTTGTAAGGATTTTTATCCTCTGCCTAGCCCACAGAAACATGAGAAATGCCATACTGCTCTAAGATCAGAAATGAGAGCAAGGTTCTTCTCTTCTCTCTTTTAAGGCTTGTTGTCTTCTGTCCTCTGGTAAGATCACAGTAACAGGTCCCATCACCCCACAGAACCCCACCAAACGAAAACCACATAAAACTTTCAATTTACAGAACACACGCAGTTCTGTGTTTGTCTTACATAAAATTTATAACCTGATCTCTAATTTAGGCTTTAAACCCTTTGAAATAGAGCACTGTGGAACAAATTAAGAAAGCAATAAGTTCCAACTCAGCTATCATTTCTTGAGGACCCACGACATACTGAGCACTTAGCATTCATAGACGTTAACGAATGTTAACCTCATGACAACTCATGAAGTAGGTGTAAGGTACCACGAGTGGTCACGTAGTTTTGAGAACTCATTTATTATGGAAATGAACCAAGACTCACTAACATGTGGCTTTGGGTCAAACAATATTATTCCCTGAAGCACATGATGGACAGTCGTCCTGTGCATCATCAAGAGCCCCCAGGGATCCCAGAGCAAGGGCCCAGCTACCCTGACGGGGCATTACTCTGCTCCTAGCAAAAAAGCCCTGATGACTCTCAGGAAAGGCAGAGACCAGAATGAAGAGAGCTCTAAAGAAAGCTGCCTCTGGCGGGGACCTTAGGCCCAGAGCCCACAGACCCATGTCCCATGCCAAATGAATCCCCGTTCTCTGGTGCCCGCCCCCTGCCAGAGCTCTGCAGCTCTTGGCTCCTCTTTCGCCTCAGGAAGGTTTGGGGTTCCTTCCCAAGGCTTTACTACTCCTTTCTGCTTTATTTGTATGCTAAAGCACCAACTTTCAAGGTCCAGACCAGTGTCTGGCACACAGTGACATCAATGTCATCCCAGGACCTCAACTCCTTCTCTGTGCTCCGTGGGAATCCTTGTTTTCTCCCCAGGCACTGCTCTTTCCTAAAGGGTGCAGAATGGCCCGACCTCTGGCCACTAAGATGCTCTCTCACAAACCCCACAGACGCCCTGGTCCACACATCAGGGCGTGGCCTGCCCACCAAACCTCTTCATCTGCCAAAAGATACAGAATATGGGAATCCAGGTGATTCAGTGAGGCCCAGCACACAGAGTTCACCTGGTGAGGAAGCACACAGCAAGATGAAAAGATTGGTTTGACAGCCAACTCATGGAGAGAAACAGACAAAAGCTTTCTTGTGGAATAACTTGTGGGGATACAGACATGTGACTTATTTGTTCAGGTCTTGCTCCTTTAAAAGGGGCTGGAACAAGCATTCTGAGAACAGGGAAGCTCCCTGCACTACCACATAGAGCCTTGAGAGGGACAGGGAGGAAGTAACCCCCAGCCCCTTCCTTCATCATCAGCATGGGACTCTCAGTGAGACACCTGGTATACCCTCCAGGGCAGGGATGAATTCTCTGCAATGGCAGGGACAAACCTAACTCTGAAGGCATACTGTATCGCACTTCACCCAGAATCTGTTTTCTACCTGCAGCCATCTTGTGGCCCATGTCCCGAGAGAAGAGAAAGTCACACCTTCTTATAGATGTAGCTGTCATCCCACCATTTAAAGGTTGCCCCTTAGACAGCACACTCCTTATATTTATGTAAACCTCAGTGTTGGCCACAGACTGGCCGAGTGACCAATGCATCACCCTGACGCACTGAGAGGCCCCTCCACCCAGGCTGTCTCAGCCCACTGGAACTCTGTGCTTTGGGTTCCTTCAGATCAACTCTACCCTCGTGGAGGGAAGGGCCTTACGACCAGTTAAAACACACTGCTTCAAGCCTTCCCCCATCTAAAGCCATTTCTCTTCCAAGGTAAGAAACTCTTGAGGCCCATTTCTTCCCCTACGGGTTTGCAGGATCTAAAACCCCATTTTTCCCTTGGGAATATGAGGAAACCGAGCCCCGCCTTCTTCACAAGGTTCTCTCTTCTTCTCTGAATTTGGCCAACTCTTGCAGTGCCCTTGGATCCAAAGGCAAAGGGCACTGCAAAGCCAAAGGGAAGGGCAATGTACCTTCCGATTGGTGAAGTAGAGATTTTCATGCATATGCACCCTGAGCGTGGGCGTCTTCATACCGCGCAGGCTAATGATGCCGTACTTGGAGCCTCCAACTTTAACATCGTTTACTGTGAAGAGCCGGTCACTGTTGGTATCCGCCTGGAGAGGGGAAGTGGACTGTAGGTGACCTCCCAGGCTGAGATATGTGGGCTGCCTAAGACCATCTGCCTGTCTCTCCCAGCCCCTGTGCTCTGTGCATTTTCACCTGGTAAGAGCTCCCATCCATGAGGGAGCATGGAGAGGACCTGACTTGTCCCTCCTTGGCGTAGCCATCGTTGGGCAAAGCTAACAGGTGTCTGGTCTCACAATTCAGGAGCAAGGATGAGGATGGCAGTGAGGGGGCACCGCCAGGAAGTCTGAGGTCTGCACAGTGACCCCGCTCACTGTTTGGAAGAATCCTAATGTCCATCCAGAGGAACTATTCAGATGAGCCAAGTGACAGAGCAGATGGCCACCATGAAAGCCACGCAGCAGCATGGAAAATGCTAGTTCTAACCAGCAAGGAATAAAAGGAGGACACAAAATTGTATTCCCATCACACAGGCACTATGATTACCACCAGGAGGAAAAAAAAAAAGACATTGCACTGAAAAGAAAAATGACAATAGAGAAGACTGCATTGGGATGTGGGTTATTTTTAGGATTTTTTTTTTATTAAAAAATGTGGTTAATAATTATTTCAAAGCAAACACTCTATTTTGTGTTTTATATATATTTATAAATATAATACATACATAGACCTGTGGGTTTGGCGGCTGGTGAAACTGTACTCATTCTGCAAGTGTACTCAGGAAGAACAGTTATGGTCCTGAAAAGGCATTACCAGGGACTAGGGTAAAATCTGAAAAACTGGTCCCTGGGTGGCAAACTGCCCCTGCCCACCCTCTGGTCACACCAGCCAGCCAGTCATGTGCAACTCTGGGTGATGTGGAAGATCTTCCAAGGGCTAGCACAGAGCTTGTGTGAGACAAAGCATGAGGACTGAGGGGCTCAAGCCCTACTAAGCAGCATATGAACCCCACCTGGTTTACCCCAGAACCCCAGGGAAGGGGCTCCTGAGGGAAATCCACTGCAAGAAAGTATTCTACTGATTCAGGCCAAATTGTACCCCAAACACTTAGGGGGGTAAAGTCACAGGAGAAAGAATGTGAGTCCTGGCCCCCAACACCCCTAACGTGGAAAGACCCTTGAGGTCTCCTGGGGCAAGACCTCAAGGGTCAATTCTGCAGCTTCAGCCTCCAGGCCTGTCAGCAGATCACGGGGCCAAGGTCTCCATTTTGCATCCTCTCACTCTCCTCAGCTTTCCCTTGGCTTCCAGGAAGGACAGGGCTAGCAGGGCAGGCCATGCTCCCTGTGGCCTTGAGTTCCCAGTTGAACTCAGTACTCTGGCTCCTTCTGTTTGCAGTGGACCCTCTGGTCCCCTGCCAACATTTCTCTGTCCCCTGGGCTTCCAGCCCAGGTCTAACCAAAAGCAGAGGACTTTCTGCTCCTTGCAAATGGTGTGATGGAGGGGTGCTGGATGTGCATGCCCAGGGACACAGGCCTGCAGGCCCCTGTTACTCAGGTCAGGGACAGCAAGCCAGGGAGTAATATGCTGTCACTCCTGAAGGACACTGGAGCTTCAGGTTTAGCCACCAAATCCCGCCCCAGTATAGGAAGGATCAGAAGCCCCTGGGCCACTCTGTACCTTGAGTTGTGTCCATGACACACCCAAGGGAAAGTTCCTCTGTGATGGTTCTTAGTCAATATGTGGTAGGCCCATGCTCTCATGTCAAATGACAGAGCTGTAGTGGGGGTGACAATAGTCAAAGCACGGCCTGCCCTGCCAGCTTGGCATCTGCCAGTGGGTAGCTGGTAGGTGCTGGCAGGTGCTTGTTAAAACCATAAAACCAAGAGGATGCCATTTGTTTTCATGGCAACTGGCTTCTACACAGCTAGGCTTGACAAAAACTAATGCTAAGCCACGAAGCATCAGGGGATGGCAGCCATACCCCTGGCACCCACAGGTAGCTCCCTCCCACTCACCAGTATGAGGTTAAATCGGTCGCTTGCCAAAGCGGAGGGATCCGAGCTCTGAATCTGGACCTTTTTCCTCTCCATGCAGCTCAGTCGCAGCTCATGGGCTAAACTGCAGAGGGGAAAAAGGAGCGCAGGGAGGGCATGGATGCCATACCTAGGTATCCATGAAGACAACTCAAGGGCTCTGCCCTATCCCATACCCTGAAGACCATCTCCCCTAGTCAGCCCTCTCCATATTATTTCTCAGCAATGGAGCTGAGCAAGATCCCAAATAATCTCAATTTTAGAACTCTTAGGAAAACTAAACCAAAGAACAGGTGGCCCATTCACAGGGTCAAAGAAAGTTAGAACTGAAGAGATTTGTTTTTGGATCATCTAGTACAACTCTTTCTCTTGAGACAAAGAGAATGTGCCTGAGAAATGAAGCAACATACTGAAGGCCACGCAGCTAATGAAGAGCCCAGGTACGCAGCCACCCATCTTACTGCCCCTTTCCCTCTTTTGCATCATGGCTGCCTCTCCACTAAGAACAAGGCATATTTTCGGGTGAAGAACATATCTTTCTAACTATACCTTTACCTCTTTTCCCTCTCAGAAGGAGGGAAATACAGGAGAGGCAGCCCTACCTGCCCTGACTGGTATCTCCTGCATGGCTGATCTTCCCTGAAGGAGGCCCTGCTCCAAGATGACAGAGCTGTGCCCCCTATAAGCCACTCAAACTCATGCTGTTTCTTCACCTGCTCACGCACTGCGGGAGGCAGCAGAATGCTGGGGTTAGGAGCTCAGGCATTGGAATCAGACAGATCCTGCCCTTTCTAGAAAGCTTTACATTGAGCAAATCACTCCACTCTGAGCCACAGTCTCTTCTTCTGGAAACTGGGGGAAGTATCAGCCTATCTCACAGGGTTTTAGTTAGAATTCTATCAGATATCACAAGTATTTAGATAAAGTTTAGTTTACATACATCCATTTAATGCTCCATTTTTGGTGACAACTCATTAGAAAGGGAAAAGGAGGCAGAAGTCTCATGGGAATGAGATTATAAGACCTTCTACTAAACTAAAAATGATTTAAGAGTAACACAGAGGGAACATCTTGAGAAATTTCTGCCCAATTTCTCTGCCTAGATTCCCCTCCTCTCTCCCTGGACTCCTGTAGGAGTTTCTCTCCTTGCTCTAGAGGGAAAATGATTTTCTCAGGGCTGGGTTTAGTAGCAAAAGGCCAAGTTGTGAGCTGGAGCCCCTCAATTGTGAAGACTCCTCACAGAGCAGTTACATAGTCTATCCTGATTAGATTCTTGGACCACAGAAATAAGAAATAGGACAAGAACATTCATGAAGAAAACACAACGAGGCATTGTCTTACCGGCAATAACTGGTGACATTGAGAAAACCCAGCTTGCTTTTTTGTAACAAAGAAGATGCATTAAATCCCATCCTGGCTATTTTCTAAATTAAAAAAAAGAAAAAGAAAAAAGATTCAATGAAATTTTGTTATGGGATAACAGAGAATGTTTTTAGAAGAAACAGGTATTAAGTTGGCAGAAATTATAAGCATTAAAAATCCAATGGTCTCCTTTGCTAATGTCCTCTCCTTGGCAAGAGGAAAAGCCCATCCCAAGAAAGTACGTGTGAGCTGGGAAGTCTGCTCACTGCCTCTGTGCAAGACCCCCATCAATTTATGCCTGTCAAGCTAATGAGTGCAGGAACGGCACCGGACACTCAGGTCTGCATCATGCTTTCCATTCGACCTTGGTGACACTGCGGCCTGGATTTTCCATTCTGTGGCCCCCATAACCATCAAAATGTCCTGGCATCTAATGCCCAGAAGGGACAGAAGAAACTCTCATATTCAAACCACATCCTGGTTTTCTATTTAAAATATACAGTTACTGAAATGGTATCATGCTGCTTCCCAAGATTCCCCCGGGAAGGACAAAATGTTGGAATTACTGATGAAACTTAGCAAATAAAGAAAGACGGGAGGGAGGAGGGGATTTCTTGCCTGTTCTTTTCTCTTCATTAGGTTCCTGTCAGACAATTTACTGCCACGCTCCCTGAAGTGCACTATGTTAAGTGTCACAGGGCATCTAACTAGCACCTTTTAGCAGTGGATGGAAACTGGCAGGAGTGGAGGAGACACAGTGACCCCCATGAGTGTGGAGCCCACCTTTCTCTGCTTGTCTTCTTCCTCTAGCAGCTGCAGCCTTTTACTCTCCATCTCCTTGTGCCGGAGGCTCTCCTTCGTGAGTGGGTTGCAGTTGTTATGTCCAGGGAGCAAGCGGAAGTAGCGATTCTTTTCCGGGTCAAAGTAATAACCTGGTAGGTCTTTAGCCAAAAGAAATAAAATCCACTTCAACTTAAAACACTGTGAACTGACCCATCTGGTAAGGAGCCCAGTGGTCTGCCTACCACCCCTCGCAGCTCTGTGTCTTTTCCGAGGGGCAGGAGGCGGGCCAGCATTGCCAGTCACCATCTGGGGCCTAGTACAGTCCCAGGGGAAGCCAGATCACCCCTCAGGCTCCCGTGCCTCAGGATCACCATTCTTGACACATCCAGGTCCTCCCGGTTAGTGTTTCAGTTTGCTCCCAGAATTTCTTCCAAGGCAGGAATGGGCTGTTGACATACATGGAGTGTACTCACATGCAAGTGAAGACACACAGGGCTGAAGAAGAAGGGCAGCCAGAACAGACATAACCGGATGACGAGGCAGGACAAGGTTTCATCTTTCCCCCCGGCAGGGCCAGAGGAGTCCTACCCAGCAGACTGCTTACCTGGCACAGAAGAACTCCCAGCCGTGCTGGATGAGGTCGACGGGGCCTCGTCACCGCCGTGGCCGGCATCCTGTTGGCACTCTTGTGCCCCTGTGTTATACCTGTTGACAGTCAGGGTAACTTGCAGTGAAGGGCTTGAGTTGCAGTCATTTTGACTATGGGGTCCTGCAGGGAGCAGCTCAGGCAGTTCTACAGCCTTCACCCCCAACCCTCTGACCCTGCTGATTACTTGGGGAGCAGTGACCCTTGAAAGCAGTTTACCTACTCCAAATACACCCAAGTTAGGGCAAGGTCTTGGTTTCTTTTTTTTTTCTTTAAGAGGATGCAAGTATCAGTAATTCTCTTTTCTTATCTCCTCACTTCAGCATTCTGAGGTCTTTTGGAATTTTCCAGATGAAAAGGAGAACAGAAATCTTTGCCAATGAGAATGTTACCATCTGGGTTCATTTGTCAGCTCAACAGCAGTAATAAAGCCATGTGAATTTCACTGGATTCAGCAGTACAAAGAGTTTAAATTTTCCTTGGCTACCCAACCTTACAGACGGAGAAACTGGGGTTCAAGGCACAGAGGTGATTTGCTCAGTAATACTGGGATAGAGCCATGCTTTAAACACTCGATTTGCAAAGCTATAAGTGGCTTCTGTGGCACTGAGAGTCTGAAGGATATAATGACAAAGCAAAAGTCTTAACTTTGAATCTGGATAAAATCTACCTGAAAATCAAGAACTTCCCCCTCCCCATCCCACCAAAAAGAATACAAATTGCAAACCTAGGTTGAAGGAATGAAAGAACTTTCTCTTTTGTCTATAAATACTAACTATGTATGGTTCCAGAGAAAATTATTTATTCTCCCTTTTTATGGCCCGGAGCTTCCTGAGGCAGCTCATCTGTGATCAGCTGCAGGAGGAAGGATTACATGTCATGACAGATGTCTACGTTTGTAGTCCAAGGACTGCTGCTCCATTCTTTCCACACGGAGCCCAGAAGGTGGCTGTCCAGCATGTTTCCACATGACTCTGCCAAAGCGGACTCGAGATTCTTCTCAGGTCACATTTTGCTACATGTTGTACTCTTACGGGAAGACCTGGGGCCCAAAAAGTATTCATGGTTCTCCTTACAAAACATACAAACATTGGGCACTGTCCTGATCTTTCTACAATACGGGTCAAGTTTGGGATTCTGGCTTAGAGTAACAGATTTTATTCTGCACCTAATGAGGCCCACCACGTACTGAGGGCCTACTCAGAGCCAGGCAGCCCATTAGGGGCTTTACATACATCATTGCGAACCTAACAAGAGAAGTATTAGCTCTGTTTTGTACCAGAAGAATGACTCACAGTGATTACGTAACTTGCCCAATTTCACATAGGAAAAAGCAGAGAGTCAACCCCAGACCTCATTCCAAAGCCCTTGTTCTTTCCACAACATTTTGATGCTTTTTGTTACTGTTTGGGTTAAGCTATTCTAGAGAAGTATCTTGGTATTTGACATCTTCTGACTCTATAAGTAGAATTCTGTCCATTTCAAAAGGAGGTCTAGAGTGTGGAAAAGTTTTGAAACTGGCATATGGGTCTCCTTCGGTGAGGAGGCAGCTGTGTAGACTTCTGGCCAGAAGTCACGTCAGCAGCCCTGAACTGGGAAGAGGCGGCTTCTCCTGGCATGCGGTGTAGTGCGGGGGTATCTTATTCTGAGATTAGATTGTTTGTATTTCCTTCATGCAGAAAAACAAGCAGAGTGTGGAAAATGTTTATACTGGGGACTTCAACTAAGTATATTTTTTAAGCTGGGTGGTGGGTACACAGTGTTCATTTTATTATTCTTTACACTTTTTTGCATTTATTAAATACTGTATTATATGTATAGCTTTTCTAATGACTTAGGTTGAATTAATGAAATTAGGTTTCCAGAAAGCTATTTTCATTGGCTCAAAAAAAAGAAAAGAAGAGAGAAAACAAGTCTACAAAATGGAGAAAGAGCTCTCCAGTTGTATTAGATAATGTCTACTTCTAAGCCTATGGCTAATGCTCTGGCCAGAAGTCATGGTCACTCTGAAAAGAAAGAAGAGAGTGGCCCTATCTCTGCATGACCCAAAGTGTGGCAGGCAGGCTGACCTGCAGCAGCAGCACCCCCTGGGAGCTTGTTATAAATCCAGACTCTCATCAGACCCCACGCCAGACTCTGCATTTTGATGAGACCCCCAGTGATTCACGTGCACGTGAGGGTGCTGGAAAATGCTAGAACACTGTTGCACTGGGCAACAGCACTTGCCTCTCGTTAGAACCGTGTTGTCTGGACCAAGAGTACTGCTGGTGGCTCCTTCTCCCATGTCTTCTACTCTGCCAGCTGCTTTTATGCATTTCTGCTCCTAAAGAGAAAAAAAGAAAATCACATACAAACATGCGTGCACGTGCTTTTCTCTTCTGTTTGCTTCTTGATAGTTCCTTCATGCTCAGAGCAAGGCATACGGATGGCCCAACCTGGGTTATCATCAAAGCCACCACACTAAGCCTCCTCTGCAAAGAGGGCTGCCTCCAGGTGAAGGAGATGCCGATAAAATCCAACACTTCTGTAGCCACCTCTCTGGCTGCAGTTCTCTTACCTCACAGTTGAGACCTGGCCCCAAAACCTGCCAACCTCCATTCCCTGGGTCACTGTGTAAGGTGCTGACAGACTCTCACAATTACTTTAGGGTGACAGTTTGAGCCTGGCATGAGAACTCTCTTATGTTATTCTTCCTTCTCTTTCTTCCTTACCAGATAACACCAGAGCACATAATAATTTTTCCTTCAATCCACACACCTTCTTTTGTTTTTTTGTGAGGAAGATCAGCCCTGAGCTGACATCCATGCCAATCCTCCTCTTTTTGCTGAGGAAGACTGGCCCTAGGCTAACATCCATGCCTATCTTCCTCCACTTTATCTGGGACACCGCCACGGCATGGCCTGACAAGCGGTGCATCAGTGCGAGCCTGGGATCCGAACCCGGGCCACCAGCAGCAGAGCATGTGCACTTAACCACTACGCCATGGGGCCGACCCCACCCCCCATCTTCTTATTCATAGAGAATAGCTGATAGTGAACATTTTCTAGAATAGCTGATAGTGAACATTTTCTCCTACATAGTTTGTCATTTTATTTATTTATTTTTCCCCCAAAGCCCCAGTAGATAGTTGTATGTCATAGCTGCACATCCTTCTAGTTGCTGTATGTGGGACGCGGCCTCAG